AAAAATTGCCATTTGCATTAATAGTATTATAGGAGAAAAATATTTTTTCTGTCTTGTATATGAAGCTGAGTGAAAGTATTTAGAATAAAAAAAATCTTCTTGCTGTTGATCTATATGCATCTACTTGCTGAAATGTGCTCATCTATGTCTTTTCACATGGTAACCATGGTAGTGACAACATGTTTCAATAGCATGTGAAATCTGTGCCTTTTCTATCCAAACTCTAAAAACCTGACACAGCTGCAGGAAGAATTTTCAAAACATCAGCTTGTCCAGGCTCATTCTGCATATTATATGCTTGAAAGACTTCTGGAACAACAAAAAGCCATATAACTATGTTAGCACAGATAGGAAAGACAGATGTTGCCTTCACCTCCACCCACAGGAATCTAACAAAGTGAACTAATTAAGTGAACATTTTCTGTCCAGTTGAAATGGTCACTGGTGAGCCAGCACAGTGGTGATAATGTGAGCTGACATTTATTATAAAACCTTTTAGTGGGTGCCCAAAATTAAGCATGGTTGGTGGGAAATGCTGTAAGAATGCAGATTGAATATGGCTACAGTCTGGCCCAAGAAAGATAAACATGGTCAATAGATGTTTGCTTGCTTCAAAAAGGCACCTGATGAATCTGTGAAATGTCACATATACTAACACACTGATAGCACTGTATAGGAGCTACTAGTTCAACTGCTTGGTGGGATGGAGTAGGGAGCTTCAGCTGGTGTACTCTGGATAGTGTTAGTGAGCATAAAGTAAGATTGAGCAGACCTCTTCATTTCACAAAATCATCTTCAGTCACGATACACTGGTGATGGACATGGCATTCGCTTCTCTTAGCAGGTGAAATACTTGGATAATATCCAAAGAAAAGAGCAAGTTAAGTTTCCAAATATGTATATGTATAATATATGACGAGCATAGTGTGGGTTCATTGAGTTGAGCATTTGAGGCACCAATTGAAGACTAGCACAAATGAGTCTGGATGGGGATTGTGCTACAGAGGCTCAGTAAAGCACTAAATTAGTGCTTTTATTTACTGAAGAATTTTAAGTGATGAAGATCCGGTTCTGAGCATTTGTTGCTATAGAAAGCTGGAGGTTCTGAGAGGTCATGGCCTTACTATTAAGTGCTCTACATTCCCCTCCACTTTGAAGCATGGGGTCAGTGTGTAGAGGTAGAAAGGCCTTTGAACTCGCAGAAGTGGGGAGTAGAGCCAATACAGTATGCTTCCTCTACCAGGACCCCACAAAACCCTTTCATGTGGCCATTGTATGGTTGGAGTTCTGATTTTGTGGGATTTTTGTTGCTCAGTCCTAGAGACTGAGGAACAGCTTCTCTGCATGATGTGATCCCTGCAAAACAGGCAGCATTCCTCTTGGATTTTCAGAGATATAAATACTTTTAGAAGCAACCTTAATTTCTGGTATACACTATCACCTTCACACAGATGTAAAGTGCAGTGCAAATTTGGTGGGGCCAGCTAGTGGCAGCTCAGCTCCTAGAGAAGCCGTGAAGCTAGGAGCAGGAGTGACGTGGAGGTGCATAACTTCCCTATGATTGGAGCTTCCTTTGATTTTGCAGATTCCTGAGATGCATGAGGTTTGGAGGTGTCACATGCTCTCTGCCTTCTCTACAGTCCAGATGCCTATGCCTTGCTTCCCCCATCTAAATAAGGGGAGCTGTGACCGTTTGCTGTATCAGAATTTGTGATTTACAATTTTGTAGTAAAACTATTAATCCATTTGACCTTGACATATGTCATATATATCTGGTGTGAGGACTTGAGGAAGGGAAGTAGAATCTGACCTATTGTCTTAAATCAGTTTTCTGTGGGATTTAATATTGAAGATTGTGGCCAAATTCACCTCTGGAAGAAGTAGTTAAAGTTGAGGGAGTTGTGCCCACTTACATTAGTGTTAAACTTTGCCTAAAACTTCCATCTGACTGGAACACACCATTGCAGCAAGGGGAATTCTTTACACATTCCAGGGATTGTATATGAATATAAGAACATAAGAACAGCCACACTGGGTCAGACCAAAGGTCCATCTAGCCCAATATCCTGTCTTTGGACAGTGGCCAATGCCAGGTACTTTAGAGGGAATGAACAGAACAGGTAATCATCAAGAGATCCATCCCCTGTAACCCATTCCCAGCTTCTGGCAAACAGAGGCTAGGGACATTATCCCTGCCCATTCTAGCTAATAGCTATTGATGGCTCTATCCTCCATGAACTTACCTAGTTCTTTTTTGAACCCTGTTATAGTCTTGGCCTTCACAACATCCTCTGGCAAAGAGTTACACAGGTTGACTGTGCATTGTGTGAAAAAATACTTCCTTATGTTTGTTTTAAACCTGCTGCCTATTAATTTCATTTGGTGACCCCCTAGTTCTTGTGTTATAAGAAGGAGTAAATAACACTTCCTTATTTACTTTCTCCACACCAAGTCATGATTTTATAGACCTCTATCATATCCCCCCTCAGTTGTCTCTTTTTCAAGCTGAAAAGTCCTAGCCTTATTAGTCTCTTCATGTATGGAAGCTGTTCCATACCCCTAATCATTTTTGGTTCCCTTTTCTGAACCTTTTCCAATTCCAATATATCTTTTTTGAGATGGGGCAACCACATCTGCACACAGTATTCAAGATGTGGGCGTACCATAGATTTATATAGAGGCAATATAGGATATTTTCTGTCTTATCTATTCCTTTCTTAATGATTCCCAACATTCTGTTAGCTTTTTTGACTGCTGCTGCACATTGAGTGAATGTTTTCAGAGAACTATGCACAATGACTCTTTCTTGAGTGGTGATAGCTAATTTAGACCCCACCATTTTATAAGTATGGTTGGGATTATGTTTTCCAATGTGCATTATTTTGTAACCCTTCTGCCAGGTGGAGCCAAGAGCAACAAGGGCCAGGTTCAGTATCTAGTGGTTCCTTTTCAACAATACAACACACAAACAGCTCGAGCCCCCACCCAGTGACTTGGGACAATTACACACCACCCCCTGGGTGCCTCAAAGAGGCAATACTTCCCCTCTCGCAAGCACAGAGTCTGAGTGTAGCAATAACTTTAATAAAAGGAGGGAATTAACTTAGCATTAATTTGGGAAAACACTGCAACTATGGTTCATAAACACAAACCATGATCAAAAGACCCACCCCCAAGTAAGTTGGGCAGTGTCCTTTTACCCTCATTGTCTTAAATCCAGCAACCCAAAAGTCCCTTTAACGTGCCTGTCCCTTCTCTGTACCCCACTCACATTTGCTGTCCTTTGGCCAGTGCAGCCCCAGAGTTCAGAGGTTCATCCGTGGAGTGGTGGGGGTAAGGAGGCACCTTACATACCGCACTGCTCAGGCACTCACTCATCATCCCAACAGCCAATTGCCATGCCTCTGCAGGGCTCTGCTGGCCACTTGCCACACCCCTCCACCAGCCACCCTGCTGGTCATGCCTCACCACCAGCTTCCCTGCTAGCCATACCTCTCCATCAGCTGCCCGCTTACCAAGCAGTCTTCAGGGTCCCCCACCCACACTTAACACAGCTCTCAGTGATTTCAGCTGTTACTGGGGGAGCCACACTTCCAGTGCACACTGTGCAGTCTCTTGCAATAAAGACACTCTCCCAAAGTAGGTCTAATACTTAGACCTAGGTATCAGTGATTTCAACTCTGTAATATGTAACAAGACTCTCAATTGAGTCTAAATTAGCTCTTTTATTATACCATGGAGAGAGGACAGGTCAAATGGTGTCTAGGACCCTTAAACAGGCCCAGCCCACCAGATACAAATACCTGTCCCCACCCTCTCTCAACTCATTGGGCTTTGGAACCCATATCCCCTGCCTAACGAGTGCTGTTAAGTTGAGGGTGAGTCCCTCCATTGGGGTATGCCAGGTACAGTTCTGCTGCCCTCGGTTCACACAACAAGGATAACAACACTTTATTACAACCCTTTATTAGTCCTGCCCCAATACCAAGGAGACTGGGGATTCAACACCAGCCACAAATAATCTTTTGGGCAAGCAATCCCATCATGCTGAGCATCATGCAAATGAGATCAGCTTCTGAAGTCTTTTTCCACAGCTCACCACTAGATGTCAGGGGAGAGCTCATCCAGACTCTGCTTACACATTTATTAACGTTGAATTTCATCTGTCATTTTGTAGCCCATTCACCCAGTTTTGTGAGATCACTTTGTAACTCTTCACAGTCTGCTTTCGACTTAACTGTCTTGCATAGTTTTGTATCACCTGCAAATTTTGCTACCTCACTGTTTACCCCTTTTTCCAGATCATTTATGAATATGTTGAATAGTACTGGTCCCAGTACAGACCCCTGGGGACACCACTATTTATCTCTCTCCATTCTGAAACTGACCATTTATTCCTACCTTTGTTTCCTATCTTTTAATCAGTTACCGATCCATGAGAGGACCTTCCCTCTTATCCCATGACAGCTTACTTTGCTTAAGAGCCTTTGTTGAGGGACCTTGTCAAAGGCTTTCTGAAAATCTAAGTACACTATATCCACTAGATCCTCCTTGTCCACATGCTTGTTAACCCCCTCAAAAAATTCTAGTCGATTGGTGAGGCATGATTTCCCTTTCCAAAAACCATCTTGACTCTTCCCCAACAAATCATGTACATCTATGTGTCTGATAATTCTGTTCTTTATTATACTTTCAAAGAGTTTGCCGGACACTGAAGTTAGACTTCCTGGCCTGTAATTGCCAGGATCACATCTGGAGTCTTTTTTAAAAATTGACATCACATTAGCCAAGTCATGTGGTATAAAAGCTGATTTAAATGATAGGTTATATACCCCAGTTAGTAGCTCAGCAATTTCATATTTGAGTATAATGTACCGCTTAGCTGTGTTTCTTTGCAACCTATCTCAATTTCATTAGTCTTATATGAAGTGTGATATTCATCTTTTTAACCCATGAAGAATGAAGCCAAAACACAGTTGTGAATTTATACTTCAGACCTATCTCTTTGGCAAGTCAATATTTGGATCTTTATTACACTGAGAAAGTTTAAACTTTTAGGTAATACTTTGCTTTTAAAAACAAAAACAAAAACAAACCCTTTTCTGTCATTTCTATGTCAGGTAAGTTTTTTTTTTTTTGGCAGAATACTCCCTTTTTAAATTAAAAAAAAATAATGAGCTGCAGTAGTTAAATTATAAACACAGTGTTCCAGGTGTGGTCTCATCTTATCTCATTTTAACTTCCTTTGAAAATGTCAGATAAATTTAAACATAGTTGTGGTCTGACACTTGCATGAAAAGCTTCTTAGAGAAAGAAATATTTTAACTCAACATCTTAAGTAGGTCTTTTCTGAAGTTTTGAGAGACCCCTGTGTCTGTCAAAAGACCACTGAACATGGCGTTTTAACTGAGATGAATAGAGTTATTCCCACTGTTACTTGCATGAAAAATGGCAAATCAGTGCTGTTTAATATGGCTTTCAGTTCTAAAGATATTCTTTGTCTTTCCTTCTCGGTAGTTTTCTTTGTTTAAACAACCCCATGGAATGCCAGGAAATTATAGCATGCTTGGCTGATCACTTTGAACAGATGAGTTTTATTTCGTATTCTGTGGAAAAGTGTCCCATAGGACCTTTGCTTGAAAATCTGATGTTAATAATCTTCATTACTAAAAATCCAACATTTAATTGTATCCAGATCAAAAAGACAAGTGCATTTATTAGATTAAAAATTTTATTATCATATATGTGTTTTTTGTAAATTGAAAGACATACTTTGCATTATTAAGCCCATGTGTAGAGAAAGAGAGTGTTTAGGTTGTATAAGATTTCTTTTTTAAATGCTTTAATTCAGAGATGCTAAACTTTGTCCAGTCAAGGATCATGTTAACAGCTGTACATGAGCCCAAAGATCTCACATAATTTAAAAACAGATCAGTTTACAGCTGCCTTATCTTTAATATGGAGATGCAGCCTATGAAAACTACAGGGTCTGGGACCCAATCGTTCTGCAGCAGTATATGAGTAACCTGACATTGATGTCTGAGAATTCAGCCATTGGTATTATGTGCTCGCCTGTAGTGTCCATAGACTGCACCTCCATAGCTGGAAGGTACCCATAGTCAGCTGTGTAAAATTCCACAGCCCTTTTGTCAACAGTTGGCCATTCTGAGTTCGCTTACTGCAGTCTGTTTCATCAGTGATTGAATTGTTATAGAACATCAAAGGAATAATTTGTGAGATACTGTGTTCGAGGATTCAGATCAAGGAACCTTTCAAACAGGTACTATAACTGCCGTATGGACATAATGGGTGTGAATTAGCCTTTATTCATACCAGTGTAAATTGAGAGTAACGCCATTGAAATCACTGAAGTTACACTTGTATAAAACTAATGTGAATAATTGGAGAATCCAGCCCACTAGTTCTAGGAAGGCAGTATCCAGCTTTGAAACTATCAACATTAGACTGATTTTTTCCCTTTAACAACATGTCAAGAATCCTGTAAATAATATAAATAGTATTCTGATTTTTAAATGTCTATAATTTAAAAAAAGGATCATTAAACAAGAAACAAAGGTCAGTTTCACTTGTAACAAATTAGCTGAGTAATAAGTTTCCAAATACATTTCTTTTTCATTGTTTAGGAACAGTTAGTGCACTTTATACCAAGTGATTAAATACAATAATATTCTACTAAAAATGGCTCTTCTAGCCAGTGCATCAAAAACTTTTTTTTGTTTAAATAATTCCTTTTTATCCTGAAATACAATGTAACTTCAAAATGTGTTCTCGAGCAAAGAGTATACATCGGATAGTATTAAAATCTTCCATCCATCTTTTAAAATGAAAACATAATAAAGCAAATGACATTTCTCATCAAAATATTTATAATTCCTTTAAAATATATTAATATCTTATAATTTGGTCATTGTCACCATAGATCATTGTACATAAATCACTAATGCACAATTCAGTTTGGTATATCGAAAAGTAGTAAATGTCATGTTTGTAAGTATTGGACCTGACTACGCTTAAAAGTTTTGCTGGCATAGCTATGTTGGTTAGGTGTGAAAAAGTCATACCCCTGACTGATGTAGCTATGCCAGGAAAAGCCTTACTGTAGATGCAGTTATACCAGCAAAAAGTCTTTGTCCCACTATAACTTACTTAGTTCTGAGAGCCAGTATAACCTGTCTAAGTACAGACAAGGCCTTAATCTTATCAAATTTAAATTCACTATGTACAGTATTCATTATGATTTGGAAAGTCTCTTTGGTTTGTAATTCATGAAATGTTTGAACGTCTGTTACATTTTATTTCTTACACTTCAGAACAACAATAACAAGAAAATCTCTGCTTCCCTTCTGTTCATTGTATAAAAGTCATTCATTGGGGGGAAACCCTACTTTGATTTTATATTTGGGTGTGTGTTTTTCTACATAATCTTTTCCCTGGTGATAAATAAAAAATTCTGACAAGTTAAAAAAAATTAAGTTTGAATCCTTGCAATCTCATAAAGTTCACCTTGAATAGAGGATGCAGAGGAAGGGAGATTTGGGTGTGAAACCACGCGGTTTTAGGCTGTAAGGGAACCAAACTCCATTTCTGTAGATCTGGAGGCAATAATACAAGAACTCAATCCTTTCTGATGCTTCCTGCTCCAGTCCTGCTAGCATAGCTCTCTGACAAGCTGTGGAGCTGTTGACTTTCCTTCATCAAAGAAGCAAAAAGCGTGGTCTCGAAGCAAACAGCTTGGGGGAAAACATCCTGTGGAGGTGCTGTTTCACTCCATACTTAGTCTACACACCCTTTCCATTTCCTTTTGTTCAACTCTGCAACTATACTTGGTTGGATGGTCTTTTGATCAAGGGGATGGACTGGGAACTCAGAAAATCTGTTTTCAATTCCTGACTCTGTGTCCAATGTTGCTTTGTGACTTTGAGCAAATTAGGTGATCTCTGCCTCAGTCATTTTAAAATAGGATACCACTTTCTAAGTTCGTGGTGGTGTTGTGATCATATATTTGTAATGTTTATGAAGGCACAGATGATATAATGAGATCCAGATAAGCAGATACTGAGTTTCATCTTAAGTGGTTACATGTAATCAGAAATGTTTGCGAGATATTTTCAGGCAAAAAATATGGGTTTTCATTCAGCTACCTTTGTAGAAGTTTTTAAAAGTTGTAGATTGTAGAAACCTGGTATGCTGCGGATAGTAAAAGTACAACTGAAACATTAAAATCAATGCCTTCAAATTCAGAATTTAGCAATGCTGAAGTTTTAGCAACAGCTACTCTGAAGCATTAAAACTGTCTTTATAGGGCATGGAGGGGGATCAATAAACATTTTATGTTGAGATACTTTCTTTCATCTTGGAAGGATTATATTAGAATTGAATATTAAAATACTCCAATATTTGTATTTTGAATATGATACTGAATAAGTATGATGTTTTTAGTATGACCATTACAAACTGGTTACAGCAGAGGATGCTGATTTATGGCACAAAGGCTTTGGGTCTGATCATCATTTTTACCTGTTTAAAAGCTTGCCTATAACCATTTGGAAGATCATTAGAAACATCATGCCACGTGCCCCAGAAAATCCCGTTGCGAATACCTTTGTATTTTTTGTGATAGTATTTGCCGTTTAGGTTGGCAGACAAACATTTATCAAACCACCAGCCAGAGCTGTAGTAAGCCCCACAATTTCCTGATGGATACTTATCATTGTCTTTGTCCGGAGTACTGAAGAATTTTTGATCGTGGTTGTAATGTTTACTGAAGTGCAGGGCATCTCCGGCTGTACCACTGTAGCCACTGACACTTAGACGGTACTTGAGATATTCATTGGCTACATAGAACTGTTCATATTTCGCATACTCTCGAAGACCATTGAAATCTTCAAGCTCAATTCTCAGCTGCATATCTTTGCTTTTGGTCAGGAGATGAATTTTATCATTCCCCAGCCAAAACTCCCTGCTGAGATTTCCAAAGCCATTTTTGTAGTCATTCCATGTTCTGTTGAAGTTAATGCTACCATCTAGACGCATCTGTAGCACTGTCCAGCCACCTCCCATTGATTCCATGTCACAGTAAACCTCAAAGCTATTATTTTTTGGATCAGGAATAACTCTGTAGATTCCATTACGCCTTCTACCTGCTGTGTAATGATCAGCACAGTCTCTCTGCATTAGTTGTATAACTAGGGGGAAAATAGATAGAATTAGTACGGACAGTCTTTTATTTAATATTTTTTAATATCTAGTAAACCACATCAAGCATTCCAGACTATGGTAATATAAAAAATTACATTTTAAATACACCGTGTATTCTCTTCAGCACTTTTAGCAGTATCTTGCCTGCAAGTTCTCTCTTCTATTTTTCTTATTTATTAATGAATGCAAAAACAATACAAATGATTAATGTTGATCTAAAAATGCTACATAGCTCCATTAAATTGTCTTGCTGCTTATTTCTTGCATGTATATCCATAAAGAATAATGAGTTAAATTCCACAAAACTGGTTCAAGGAGGTGCAAAACACACACCCTGAGGGTTGCATCCTGTGGGATGACTTATCTCTCCAGAGGTCAAATAGTGTTTCTGCAGTCAGAGTTCTGGTAAGTATGGGCATCTTTTATTCACATCAGGGCTACTCCATAGGTATCCACCACCAGGAGCCTGTTGCATCAGATGGCTACGCAGCCACCTTGACAACACTGCATTTCTGGCCAATATTGCCCACTTTTCACTGGGCTGGCCTCTTCCCCTCTTCCCTTTTCACTCAGTGAAGTTGTTTGCTATTTTCAGCCGAAGTTGGCCCCCTCTGTATACTTTCCATTATTGGAACTCTTTTCCATGAGCTAATGGTGGCATATTTCAGTGGTGAATTTGGCCTAATATTTCCATTCTATTATTTCAAATGCTTTTTAACTCATGTATTCAACTATACCTTAATTTTCTCTTATGTATTGTAGAATTTGCTCCTCTTGTGGAATATATTCATTGTACTTTGTCATATTAATGTCTATAATTCACTACCTTTCATGCTATAGTATGTCATATGAGAAGTTTATTTCATATCAGGATGACTTAAAGATGGCTCTTAGTATTGGCTGTTAGTCTAGACAATGGGAATTTTTCATATGTCAGTGGTCAGTTATTTACAATACTTTAGGAAATAGGAGGAAACTAGTAATTTTATGCCAATTCTATGATCCCTAGAAAGATGTAGCTAGAAAAGTGACAGTGCTTTCCTGTGCATGTAGAATTGCTGACTTCATAATAAAGAAATAGTCAGTATGCCTATCCATTTGCGTAACTCGTCTTCCTATCAATAATTTATTTTATACAAAACATGTTTTCCAGGTGTTTCCTGAAGATTAGAAATCCATCTATAACCACTTTAATACTGATGCTGTGCTCAAGAGTTTTCACAGGATATGCTGCAAATGACACATTCCTAGAACTTCATGTTCCACAACAAAATATGTTCATTAACATAACAATATTTCATTGATGTCTTTCAGAGGAAGTGTTTTAAGTGTTGGAAACTATTTTGAGAATGTTTATTCCTACTATAAATTCATTTAAATGCATGGGTGTGTTTGATTACGTTTTAATTGTATATCACCACTGGAAAAATACAAATGTTATTAATAATAATAACTGCTTATTAAGAGGAAATGAGGAAAAACTTCAGAAAGAGAGCATTTTATAATTATTTTCTCTGCAAAAGTTAGTAACTATTTTATTTAAGAAATTACAGAGAGAATAAATTGTTCTATTGAATCATAGAACAGTAGAACTGTAGGACTGGAAGCGTCATCTAGTCCAGTTCCCTGTACCCAGGTAGGACTAAGTAATAACTAGACCATCCCTGATGGGTTCATCTAACATGTTCTTAAAAACCTGCAATGACAGAGATTCCACAACCTCCCTGGGCAATTTGTTTCAGTGCTTAACCACCCTGACAGTTAGGAAGTTTTTCCTAATGTCCAGCCTAAACCTCCCTTGCTGCAGTTTAAGCCCATTGCTTCTTGTCCTATTCTCAGAAGTTAAAGAGAATAATTTTTCCACCCTCCTCCTTGTAACAGTCTTTGATGTACTTGAAAATTGTTATCATGTCCCCCCTCAATCTTCTCTTCTCCATACTAAACAAACCCAATTTTTCCTCATAAACCATATTTTCTACATCTTTAATCATTTTTGTTGCTCTTCTCTGGACTTTCTCTAATTTGTCCACATCCTTCCTGAAATCATGGTGCCTAGAACTGGACACAATACTGAACAGGTTATTTTGAAGAGTTATTTTGTCAAATGAGGAGACTAAATTCAATCTTTAAAGTGTGAAAGAGAAATCTTATTCTTTTATTGGGTTCAAATCTCAGTGTAACCTTAACTTTGTGGTTGATACTAATGCTGCTATGGAATGTACATATGTTGTATATGAGACAGAATTTAACACGGGAGTTAATTACATAGAATAGGGATGCCAATGTTACTCAAGGATATTCTAGGATTACATAAGTGACTTATTTATTCTCCTCCACTCTTGAGTTTTGTGGTCAACCCTAACTCATGAAAATAATAATAGTTATTAATGGTTTTCTTTGTTTTACTTTCATCCACATATCAACTGGAGTCATGGAAGATTTCTGATAGATAAAACTTTCTTTTTAACATCCAGAGACTAGAGACAACAATTTCAAACTTGAGTACCTAAAGTTAAGGATCTAAATCCATATTTAGGCCCTTAACTAGGGCCTCATCCAAAGCCTGTTGAAGACAATGGGAAGACTCCCATTTACTTCAATGGACTTTGGATAAGATGGTAAGTGGCCTAAGTTTCAGAATAAATGTGAACAAAGAGTGTCTGTCTCAATTACACATCTCCTATGGATCCAACCCTACTCCTACTTAAGTCAATAATAGTTTTGCCATTGACTATACTGAAGTCAGGATTCGGTCCTATGAGCGAAAACTAGTTGTCATCCTTTCTAGTTTCATAATGCACATATTACCATAACATTTTCACTATCACTGTTGGACTGTTTGTTATATATAAATGCTATGTATTAATATTTTTATTAAATATTAATACAAACTGCCTGGATTTAGACTGTAGGTTGAACATTACTTAGCATCAGTTACCTTTTCCACATGTGTTATAGTAACACAAGAATATAGTAACACAAGACTGGCCTGGCCTGCGCTAGTGACCAAAACTGATGTTTCAGAAAAAGGTGGTGGTGGTGATGAGAATTTAGAATGCACCTACCCATTGAATGCAGAATTTAGAATGCACCTACCCAACTCATGGAGAGTTGTACATAATGGGTAGGAAAAGTTCCTTCTTGACCTCTGTGACTATCTTATACCTGAAGCATGACATTTGATTACTGGTATCTAGTAAAGACATTGCTATTAAATAAAGTTGTTCTTGTGTCCTGTTTGTGTTTTTGCTGATCTTGTTTTTCAGAATTTCAGCAGTGCATTCATTGTACTATCTGCAGTTTTCTCTGATATTCTTTAAATAGACTAGTATTGTAGATGGGAGTGAAGGAGGGCAGGTCCTGCAGGTATGCCTTCCGATAGACAAAAGACCTGTCTCTAATTTTATACGTCATACTTTTTTTAGCTTGGAGGATTGGTAAGCAGTTTTGTGGCTCAAAAATTTAGTGCAGTGACCTGTTGTTGTTTTAATCACTAGAGAACCCTTTTCTTTTTATGTATGGTATCTGGATGGCAGAATACACTTTTGTGAATGCCTCTTACTTCTAAAAATCCTTAAATGTAATATCAAAATTGTAATTACATATAGACAATGTAAAAATTAAAATGCTAATCATATTAATTTTGCAAAAGTAAAGGTTAACATGATATAATCTACCAATTCCATTTCTTTTTCTTTTAATAATCATAACAGGATTTTTAAAAAGATAAAAAAATAAGTCCCTCACAGCATGGTATTTAAAAGGAAATAAATCCCCAAACTCCCACATTATTGTCTCATTTTACATTGTTTATATATTAGATTCTTGCCAATATTCCACTATTGCTAAAATAGCGCTGTGTGCCTTCCATTTGAGAAACATTAATACTGATTAGATTTTTAGCCAAGCCTTACATGTACGTGTAGCTATGGTAAATAATGATTTTGTTATCCATCTATACAACTTACACCTTCCACTAGATTCCTTTGTTGTTAGCTAACACTTTCCAGGCCATTTTACAACAATTCCAGGATATTTTTAGATGTTTCTTTTTCCAGTCTTTCATTATGAAAGTCAGATAGTAAAAGTATTGAAATCTTAGGGCCAGATCTTTCTCATTCCCTTCCCCTAATCCCTCAAAAATGTGAAAAAACATCCAAGCCAAAAATAGTTGTTCAGTTTTCAGTGTAATGCAGAATTAAAGTGGATATTTCCTTTTGAATACAATGTAAAATAAAATTTAAATATATAAAGGAATTTCATTTCCATCTTAATATTTGGGCTCTGAATTGCTATGGCAGCAGTATGCGAATATGAGTAAATACAATATGCATATCTGCTGAACAAATGTTAAAATAAATGTTCCCTTCGGAGGGCTACATTTTAAGTACTATGTTAGAGTCAAATCCTGAGAGGTACTGAGTACCTGCAACTCCCACAGGAGTTGAAAGCACTTAATATCTTCCAGCAAGTCCTTCCTGGCCACAATAAGAGTGAATTTTATAATGCTTTTTAATTTGTGAAGATGATAGGAAAGGTATTTGTGGTAAAATATGTTTAAATTGTTCTATTAAATAATTCTACAGAATACAGAAAATTTATAAATATAGCTTCACTTACCAGGACTTGATTGTATGACTGGACACTTAGAAGAACATCTGTCATCCAAATTGTTCACAACATATGTCAGATTTGCTACTTTGCTGTCGACATAACTTTCTACGTTGTCCATGTTGATGAGGCTTATTTTTTCCAGATGACCCTGCAGTGAGTGGATCCGATTCTTTGCATTCTTCAAACTGGCTGACAGTTTATTAACTTTGCTCTGTAATTCCTTTACTCTGTTATCTTGTATCTTACTGTTTTCTGTTGGGACTTCTGTATTAGGTGCCAGGAATTCAGTACTATCTTTTTCTTGGTTGTCATCTGCCTGCAACTTGCAGTCTTGGCAAGATTTCTTCAATTTGTTTACTACATCTTTAAGATTTTGTACTTCTTTGAGAGTCTTCTCAATCAGTCTGAACTGCTTGGGTAACTGGATGGTCATCGGAGGCAGGTTTATCTGATATGGACATTCCTCTCCTTCTTCACATTCCCCATTGGTTTTGAGCTTTATAGGACAAGCATCAATAGCTTTGCCTTCTTTAACATGCTCTGTATGTTCATCTGCAAGTGCAGAAACATTTGTAAAAGCAAGCAGAGCTGTCTTAAACAAGACTAAGTAAATGAGCTTCTTCATCTTTGCAGTGAAACTAGCTCAATGAGGAAGTATGCAAAACTGGAAGAACTTTTTATAAAGGCAGCTAGCAGCCTGTGAGTTAACAGATAAACTGCCTGCACTGTTCTCAGAAATGGGTGGGAGTTATTGCATCACAAGTTGCAGTGATATTAATAGCGGAGCAAAGTAAGTAGTCCTTGGCAAAAGTAGCTTATGCATAATAACATAAGCAAAATGATAATATTCATGTGCACAGATAGAGTATGAAGTTTATTTTGAGCTCTTATTTATTTTACTTTGATTTTTCTTTTGGAAACAAAGTATTTTCTTGCTTTAGATATCTGTTTTGATATGCTACAAAATTCCTGATTCTTAACATTGGAGTATCATAAAATTATACTTAAAAATTGACATTGTGGACCATGTTATGTCCTCTACCTTGACAGGTGGAGAAGGTCATACTCTCTGGAGTGGCTCACAAATGTGAGTGCCTACCTTAGGACAGACTGTCAGAAAACAGGGCAGATATCCCAAACTGGTGGTGTATTCTATAATTAGATTTCACCAAGCCAGTAACAAATATGAACTCCTGGATCACTATACCAGTCTTACCATGAAGTGACCATCAGTTCCCTCAGACTCTCCAGTCTATCATTCCACTCAGACAAACTGAACTTTGTGATAAAAGGTCACTAAACCAAAAATCACACCATATCAGGTTGCTCCCAGTTCCAAGAGACCAGTTACTTACCCCAGATCAATTGGTACTCCAGATATGGAGAAGAAAAGACTGTGAGGGGACATGATAACAGTTTTCAAGTACATAAAAGGTAGTTACAAGGAGGAGGGAGAAAAACTGTTCTTCTTAACCTCTGAAGATAGGGCAAGAAGCAATGGGCTTAAATTGCAGAAAGGAGAGTTTAGGTTGGACATTAGGAAAAACTTCCTAACTGTCAGAATGGTTAAGCACTGGAATAAATTGCCTAGGTAGGTTGTGGAATCTCCATCATTGAAGATTTTTAAGAGCAGGTTGGACAAACACCTGTCAGGGATGGTCTAGATAATACTCAGTCCTGCCTTCAGTGCAGGGGACTGGACTAGATGGCCTCTCGAGGTCCCTTCCAGTTCTATGATTCTATGATCTTACACCAAAGACAATTTTCGCAGCCAATTCTATAGTAAACTAATTATATGTTTATTAGCTAAGAAAAATGAATGAGAGTTATTGAGAGGTTAAAGCAGGTAAAATATATGTACAGGTGAATCCAAATGGTGGCCATGGTGTAATAAATTGCCAAGTTTCCCAAAAGTCTTTTCAGGGTGCTCAGATTGTCTCTGGAGAGCTCTGCTTTGCATCTAGTTCACGTCCTTGTAAGAGTCCAAAGAATCCAGAGATGCAGGATCTTTCCTTGAATCCATTCTTATAGTTTCTTCTCACAGAAAACAAGCTGACAGGGTCACTACCCACAAGGACTTTTCCTTTGATGACAGAGAGTGAGGAATGCATCTTGTGTCTTTGACCTCTGATCATTACACACAATGACCACTTGCTTTGAAGTTAGTACTTTTCTGTTAAAGTTCTTCATTTGCGTTCCACTGGCTTCCTTCTTGCTTGATGGGTTATTTATTTACAGGGGTATACACAATGTAAATGTTTGCTATTACATTATAACAGGAGACAATGCATGTAATATCCCATTAGTTTTCATGAAGTTTAAACACCAACTACACTTACACATTTAACAATTACTTTGATCTATACTAATATACAAGTGAATTGACCTGGGGCTTCGGCATGAGCTGGCACTTGGTCGCCTGCACCACAGAGAGAATGAATAGTACCCCCTCCTTTCCTAGGACTTGGTGGAATCACCTCTGCTAGAACTTCCCAAAGTCACTGCCTTACAGCACTTGGGAGGACTCAACTTCTGAAATAAAAAATTGTCTCCAATACATTTCAAGAACATGTTGGATAGTCTGTGCCCTGATGTGTCATTTTCCCAACAGATGTGGAAATGTGAAAATAGCAGAGGTGCTTAATGATTTCTTTGTTTTGGTTTTCACCAAGAAGGTTGGTGGTGATTGGACATTTAACATAGTGAATGCCAGTGAAAATAAGGTAGGATCAGAGGCTAAAATAGGAAAAGAACAAGTTAAAAATTACTTAGTCAAATTAGATGTCTTCAGGTCACCAGGGCCTGATGAAATGCATCCTAGAATACTCAAGGAGCTGACTGAGGATATATCTGAGCCATTAGCAATTATCTTTGAAAAGTCATGGAAGACGGGAGAGATTCCAGAAGACTGGAAAAGAGCAAATATAGTGCCAATCTATAAAAAGGGAAATAAGGACAACCTCAGGAATTACAGACCAGTCAGCTTAACTTCTGTACCAGGAAAGATAATGGAGCAAATAATTAAGCAATCAGTTTGCAAACATCTAGAAGATAATAAGGTGATAAGTAACAGTCAGCATGGATTTGTCAAGAATAAATCGTGTCAAACCAACCTGATAGCTTTCTTTGACAGTGTCAAGGTTCCTCCCCCACTCTGAACTCTAGGGTACAGATGTGGGGACCTGCATGAAAAACCTCCTAAGCTTATCTTTACCAGCTTAGGTCAAAACTTCCCCAAGGTACAAAATATTCCACCCTTTGTCCTTGGATTGGCCGCTACCACCACCAAACTAATACTGGTTACTGGGGAAGAGCTGTTTGGACACGTCTTTCCCCCCAAAATACTTCCCAAAACCTTGCACCCCACTTCCTGGACAAGGTTTGGTAAAAAGCCTCACCAATTTGCCTAGGTGACTACAGACCCAGACCCTTGGATCTTAAGAACAATGAACAATCCTCCCAACACTTGCACCCCCCTCTTTCCTGGGAAATGTTGGATAAAAAGCCTCACCAATTTGCATAGGTGACCACAGACCCAAACCCTTGGATCTGAGAACAATGAAAAAGCATTCAGTTTTCTTACAAGAAGACTTTTAATAAAAATAGAAGTAAATAGAAATAAAGAAATCCCCCCTGTAAAATCAGGATGGTAGATACCTTACAGGGTAATTAGATTCAAAACATAAAGAACCCCTCTAGGCAAAACCTGAAGTTACAAAAAAGATACACAGACAGAAATAGTTATTCTATTCAGCACAGTTCTTTTCTCAGCCATTTAAAGAAATCATAATCTAACACGTACCTAGCTAGATTACTTACTAAAAGTTCTAAGACTCCATTCCTGGTCTATCCCCGGCAAAGACAGAATATAGACAGACACACAGACCCTCTGTTTCTCTCCCTCCTCCCAGCTTTTGAAAGTATCTTGTCTCCTCATTGGTCATTTTGGTCAGGTGCCAGCGAGGTTACCTTTAGCTTCTTAACCCTTTACAGGTGAGAGGAGCTTTCCCCTGACCAGGAGGGATTTCAAAGGAGTTTACCCTTCCCTTTATATTTATGACAGACAGGGTAACAAGCTTTGTGGATGGGGTGAAGCAGTAGACATGGTATATCTTGACTTTAGTAAAGCTTTTGATACTGTCTTACATGACCTTCTCATAAACAAACTAGGGAAAATCAACCTAGATGGAGCTACTATAAGGTGGGTGCAAAACTGATTGGAAAACCATTCCCAGTGAGTAGTTATCAGTGGTTCACAGTCATGCTGGAAGGGTATATCAAGTGGGGTCCCACAGGGATCAGTTCTGGGTCCAGTTCTGTTCAATATCTTTATCAATGATTTAGATAATGGCATAGAGAGTACACTTATAACGTTTGCAGACGATACCAAGCTGGGAGGGGATGAAAGAGCTTTGGAGGATAGGATTAAAATTCAAAATGATCTGGAGAAACTGGAAAAATGGTCTGAAGTAAATAGGATGAAATTCAATAAGGTCAAGTGCAAAGTACTCCATTAAGGAAGGAACAACCAGTTGCACACATACAAAATGGGAAATGACTGCCTAGGAAGTACTGTGGAAAGGGATTTGAGGGTCATAGTGGACCACAAGCTAAATATGAGTCAACAGTGTAACGCTGTTGCAAAAAATGTGATCATCATTCTGGGATGCATTAGCAGGAGTATTGTAAGCAAGACACAAGAAATAATTCTTTCACTCAACTCTGCACTGATTAGGCCTCAACTGGAGCATTGTGTCCAATTCTGGGCACTACATGTCATGTAAGGTGTGGACAAATTGGAGAAAGTTCATAGAAGAGCAACAAAAATTATTAAGGTCTAGAAAACATGACCTATGAGGGAAGATTGAAAAAAATGGGTTTGTTTAGTCTGAAAAAGAGAAGACATAAAAGGTTGTTACAAGGAAGAGGGAGAAGTATTGTTCTTCTTAACCTCTGAGGATAGAACAAGAAGCAATGGGCTTAAATTGCAGCAAGGGCAGCAAGGGAGATTTAGGTTGGACATTAGGAAAAACTTCCTGTCAGGGTGGTTAAGCACTGGAATGAATTGTCTAGGGAGGCTGTGGAATCTCCATCATTGGAGATTTTTAATAACAGGCTAGACAAACACCTGTCAGGAATGGTCTAGATAATACTTAGACCTGCCATGAGTGCAGGGAACTGGACTAGATGGCCTCTCGAGGTCCCTTCCAGTCCTATGATTCTATGTCTGGGTAGTTGAAGTCCCCCATCACCATCAAGACCTGTGCTTTGGATGATTTTGTTCGTTGTTTATAAAAAGCCTCATCCACCACTTTTTCCTGGTTAGGTGGTCCGTGGTAGACCCCTACTATGGCATCACCCTGGTTTTTTTTTACCCCTTTTATACTTACCCAGAGACATTCAACAAGTCTGTCTCTGATTTCCTTTTCAACTTCAGTCCAGGCAGTCAGTCCAAGTATACACATTTTTGATACGTAAGGCAATGCCTGCTTCCTTTTTTCCCCTGTCTATCCTTCCTGAGCAAACTGTACCCTTCTATACTAATATTCCAGTTGTGTAATACAATATGCTTGCAGACAAGCATTCACTTCCAGGATGCATCTGTCTCTGCCTGGGCCCCATCCTTGCCCAGAAGGATTGAGGAGAACACACCTGCGTCCCCAGTTCCTTACTCCCAGATCCCTGTAGTCAC